TCCTGCTCGAGGACGCCGCCGTGATGGAGGATATTCTGAAGATCAAGGCCTTCTATGAGGATGAGGCCACAAGCAAAAGCATGTGGCGTGGAGACTCATGCGCACCAGTTCCCGGCACCTTTCCTATTGCACGAGGCCGTTTTCGAGGATTTGAGCTTGGTCCAGAATGCCGTTGGCTTAGAATGGATTGTTATGACCAAGCGAGCCTGTGGTGATCTGTCCTGAGAAAATTGGACGTTGAACCCCTCCAACTTGAAAGAGTTCAATGCGCCTAAGGTCTGTACTAGGTTCCAGGGCCTGTAGGGTCACCCAGTAAAAGTGAAAGGTCAGGAGAGAGGGCGTGCTTAGGAGGCGCCCATATGCCCGGTACGTCATTAGTCTGCCGACGACGGCTTTCCTCCCGACCGGTTTGGCAGCAAGGAAAGCAGCCCTTGTGTGCCACAGCGCGAAACACTTGCGTGCTGCTTGTACAGGAACCTTGAGCAAGACGCTGCTGCAAATGCAAGCACGCCTCCTTCAAGACGACGTCCATGTAAGAAGCGACTGAAGCCACAGCTTGAGAACGGAATCACATGGAATCACGGAGCACGAAGGCTCCGGCATCCTTACTCTCAGGACTTCAACCTTACCGAAGTCGAGCGCGCCGACCAGATCCTGGCCATGGTGAAGCCTCTGAAGTCCACGGCTGCGACCCCGGAGCTCCAAGAAGTTGAAGCGTAAAGAGAACCCTAGTTAGAAGCCTCCATGCTCCGCCTCAGGTGGTGCCAAAGTTCGTTCGCTTCATTGCCAAGCCGCTCGGAGCGAAGGGCTTGAGGTCTAGAGGCCAAAGGGCCCTCGTCGGTTTACTTCTGAGCTCTCTTTGCGTATTCATGTGATACTAGTGACTTGTGGAGGCAAGTGCCCACACGGCAAAGAGCCACCCAGCCGAGGAAGATGCGCCTTAAGGGATTGAAGGCAATCTGCCTCGAGTACGTCCAGAGCGCGTACTTCAAGGACATTCCGTGAATCTTTGACTCCTGCTCCATTGTGTATATTGTGTTCAGGGTCAGCTGTGTCTCTTTGTCAGCATTGAATGTAGGCCACTGGGTAAGTCAATGATTGAGTGTGGCTAGGAAAGAACGAATGTATTAACATGTATGTGCGTGTGTGTGTGTCCGGATGTTTAGATTTTACTCCTAGCCTTTTGTGCATGTGTGCACGAATTGCATGGAAGAGCTGCAGAATTTGGGTGAGAAGCCACTCATGCGCAAGACAGGAGTCCGTCAGCCCAGTGAAGGTCACGTCTGCCGCACGTGGCGTGGTTGCAAATCAAGCTTTGGGTTGTTGGGCCTCTTGTGGCTTTCAGACATGAAGCCGCTGCAGGATGGGTCCCTTGACTCACAAGCTATTCTCAGCTCTACAGACATGCACATAGACCCGAGGTCTCACGGACGACCAGAAGAGCAAGATCATTGAGAAGATGAAGGTGAAGTGCGAGACGGACAGCATCAAGCTGATCGAGGCGCTTGCAATGCAACAATAGGTCCTTGGTCCTGTGGTTGTGACAGAGTAGAATGCCCCAAAAGAGCAGACAACGTCACAGCACTGTCTTGAACAGCACAGGTGTGAATTCTTAGTGGAGGGGTATTTGTTTCTGGTATTTTTTAAAATTTTTGTTTGGCTGGTTGTGCTCGATTTCGTGCCTTTGGCAACTCCCCGCATCCCATTATTACAGCAAGCGGTGCAAATCTGGTCTCTGCATCCTACTATTCACACAGGATGCTTTTCGTCAGTTGCAGAGGGTTCTACGTGCTTGAGGTGTGACTCATTGTAATAAAACGGCACGGACCACCCTTGCTTGTCGAAAACCTTGAACCGCAGCAGTATCTGGGGGAAACGATTTAGGGTACTCCTGTGGATTCCGGGAGCCAAGGGGGGCGAGCATAACTCCGGTTCACGAAAACGCGCCAGCAAAGTGGTGTGTGTGTATATATATATATATAGAGACACGTCTCTAAACACACTCTCGCTACCAACCATCTGTCTATCTAGCCATCTATCTATCTATGCACTATATACTATATACTGTTGACAGCCGAGAACAACCAGCCAAAAAACAAGATGCAACGACGTAATCAAAAGGCCGAACAATGCCGAACATGAAACTCCACCCATTCTTAATCCCCTCCCCTAAATCAAAATCGAAACTTCAGTGGTGCCATCAGGAGATTGATGCCAACCTCATCAGCGGCTTCAAGCTGGAGTGGGGTTCCTCGGTGAAACATGGCTCCCAGGGATCAGGTTAACCGATGTCCCGATTGAAGCCGTGCTGCGGTTTTTCGCCTGCTCTGGACTTCCATGTGGGAAAGGCTTCAGTTCAGCCGACTTGTTTGCCACGTAGTAACAGAGTACGCCCCGCATGAGCGGGTTCTTAGAACATGAAACAATGGACCATGGAGTTCATGGGTGTTCAGTGGGCGACAGCACATCACACACCTTAGATGCGCTTACAAGATCTTTTGCACTAGCAGCGGCCATTGTTGCCGCCGGTTCTTCAGCTGCTTTTCATCAGGAGCTGCTGCAGCCCTGTAGCCTTTGAAGATCGTAATCACAACTCACTGCAGAACGCGAAAGAATCCCAGATTCGTGTGGTAGGATCTTGAGATGACATGAGAAATGTCGCTTGTACCTAACGCCTTTACTTTATGAACCGGCTTGCGCAACTTGCTGGTAAGCCATTGCATGACCGCTTGCACCGTCAATCTTAGCTGCGCGCTGCCTAACTGCCTAACCGCTTGCCCTTGCTTCGATACTTCACCTGTAAGCCGGATGCTTGAAATCATGTCCTGATGCTTCACGTGAGTCATCGGGTAAGGCTACATTGACCCTGTGAACCTGGACGCCCCCAGCCACGGCGTGGACCTCTCACTGCAGTGCCTCGGCTGCTCGCAAGACTCATGAAGCTCAGCAGATTCGGATCGAAGCTAGAAAGTCCAAGGAACATCCTGAACAAGAAGGCTCTCCAGGTGGGAGGCCTTGTCGACGCGCTGCCCTGAGCCAAGACGCCTTGTGGCGCATGCGGACACCGCGGATCTGAGAGACTCGGGCAGCTGTGTGCCCAGAGTGAGGCCTTTCTTTGCGCATTGCGCACCATATGTTGCCCGCTTCAGAACATTTCCATATATAGAATGCCGCCACAACTTTAACGTTGACAAGGCACAAAGCTTTGGTACTCGGCTAGCCGTACTGAATTGCAGGCCGTGAGGCCGCACCGAAGAAAAGGGCCTCACCAATGTAAAGGGTACACAGAAAATGATAATCCCTTAATAGGAGCCGGAGGTTTTCCTGCTCAGTTCTCCTGGATACTCTTGGAGGTGGAGGTGGTGTTTTTGGCGTGAGCGCGAATGTGGAAAAAGTTGCTTCTGCACTGCCCTGTAGGAGTGGAGCAGAGGTTGCGCCAGGGGGATGCTTGATGTGTACTTTGCGCCCAGGTTTGCCTGCCCAACAGCGCTGCTCTTCGAGGGTCTGAGCTCCTTCACAGAAGTGTGACATGCTCGATGTTGCTGTCTGTAACAACCGCCCATGTGCTTCAAGGCACCTCCCAAAGATCCCATGAGCTCGACTGCCAGACCAATCGAGGCTCTTTGCCGGCGCTGCGTCGGCAGCCAGCTTCGGAGCTGGCCTTGCCATGTCTGCAGGAAGCCCAGCCCGGCAGTTGTGTTGGGCTGACAGTTTGAGCTTAAACCCTTAAAATATGAAAATGCCGCGCTTAGGTCGACTGCTGGTCCCAGACGATGTTGAGCAACTCCGTCAGCTGTGCGAAGCGCTCTGCTAGTGGAGAGGCCATTGCCCGAGACGACCGTAAGAGATTGCGTCTGAGTTCTGCATTGCAAGCAGACTTATATGAGTATACAGTAAGCATCACGATCCCGAGTTCACTTGCTATTCCGTCTGTTTAGCTTGATGCAGGCGTTTCCGCAGCTGGGTGCCATGTCAATCTTCAACATGTGCTCGAAGCCACGTCTCGTCGAATTCCGAACCAAGAATCATGGGTTAACCCCAGTGAGCCACATGGATTGGTGACTGTCCTGGTTCATGGCTATCTCACACCCTCAGCAATCTCACCTACACAAGGTGGCCATCGTTCTCCTCACATGCGCAGATGCGGAATTGGCACCTCGCTTAGCGGAGTTGGCCCTTCGGGAGTGAGTGCTGCAACAATGAGTAGCTTGGTGTCCTTAGCCCTGACGGAGCATTTCCGTTCAGGCCAGGATTTCATGCATGAGGCTTGTCTGGCAAAGGGATCCATGCGGAGTGCCTGATGATCTCAAATGCTCATGTTCTGCCATTGGCACATATTGGCACTCCCACGTCGGAACACCCTAGCAGGATTTAGCCGAGTTTTCGCTGGCAGTCCTGCTATGCAAGAACTGCTGTCCCATTTTCACGACTGTCCGCAGAGCGAGAATCAGAAACAGTAACAGTACCGGCTGATGTGCGGTGCCGTATTTTCGACCCTGGCCAGAACTGCGACTAGCAGATTCTTGCGGCTGCTGTGGCATGCCGCACCAAGCGGCAATGATAACGCTTACGGCGTAGCCAATACGTGTGACGGAAAATTGCTCAGCTGCTATATGGCTATATGCCGTCACCCATTCCACGTAAGTGTAGGCATTGTTCTACATCGGTCTACAGCAAGCTTCGCTGTCGATACTACATCAAAAGTTTGAAGCAACTACCACCCGACACGCTCGCACGCGTGCACGCAAACAAACACACACCCACACTCACTCTCACTCTGCCTTCTCTCTCTCTCTCTCTCTCGCGCTAACACGCGCACAAGTGTGAGAGTGAAACCAAGCAGCCTGTGCTTGCAGCGGCTAAGGGAGTTCGTAGTATATGCAAAAGATGCTCGTCCACAAGCTTCATGGTAGTACGATTCATGTCTAGAACTTGCATGTGGCATAGTGAGGGTATATCGTGCCCCCGCGATTCGGCGGTGCAGCGAGCGCCCCGAGAGAATGCCCGAAGACCGGCGGGCGCTGCGCGAGGCCACCGGACCGGTCGGTCCTTCCGAGAGCAGGTTTGTCGCCAAGCATGGCGCTTCCACCGATCCTCCCGAAGTAGATCCCATGTTTGCCCTTACACGCCGCGCGTGAGGCCTTAAAGCGCCAGCGCCAGCGTACCATATTGGTCGGCTTCGACTTCGTGCGGGGCCTGGACATGTCGTTCTGGCTCGCTTTGGCCAGGCCGCTGTAGCTACGCAATTGCTAGCGGTTAGTTCCACCTAATTGTGATGCCTCTCACATGTCTTGCACATGAAAGATGAACCCTTTGTCTTTACTTTTGCAGCTACAACGTCATCTACAATACAATGCAATCAAGCAGTTGAAACTCCAAACCCTCCACCCCAAACCTTAAACGCGAAACTCCCGCAACCTGATGCTGGAAGTGCAACTTGAGCGGACGTCGGTCGGGAGAAACTTCAGGCCATCCTGGAGTCATGATGCGTCATCGCCATCGGCAGCTGGAAATTATCTCCCACTGCATCTGCGCGATCTCGCTGCGAACAGCTGAACACGGACGAACAAAAATTGCTGACAATGTAGTCGATGGTCGGTGATCATGATGACGATGATCGCCATGATCGCCATTCTTAAGATCCCGGTGACGATGGCGACAACGATGATGCTAGCGATCATCATCATGCCTGACCTGATGGTGTGCATCTCAATCATCATAGTCTGCACATGTCTGCATATTCATCTTCCAGAAAAGAAGATGATCTTCAGAACCAGACACAAGATGATCATGCTGGTGACGCTTGATAGCATGGTGCTCTATCGCCTTTGGCTTGAGGACTGTACCTTGACAATACGGCACTTCTACAAAGCCGGGTTCCAAGGCAGCTGAAGCTTCCGATGTGAATGCGGGTTCAGTGCCCAGGCAGGGAGTCAGTGAAAGAAAGATGCTTGCCCAGGTGTTCGCTTGGTGCCTCCCCTTCAACACGGATGCCCACCCTCACTACGAGGCGCCATGCTTGAACAACAGATGGGGCCTGAATGGAAAAGTGAGGTATATTCAGAGAAGTGCAGGCCCTCAACTCCAGCTTTGGCTGGCAGTTTCATGTGTTGCAAAATCATTTGCCGGGTCCTACTCGGAACTCGGGGCGATTGACATCGGAGTAGGAGTTCGAGTCGGACTCCTAGTAGTAGTAGGAGTAGTAGGAGTAGGAGAAAGATGAGGAGGAGGAGGAAGTAGCACAAGGAATGACGTTCACCGTGGTGAATTGTAGATGAGTTTGACGATCGTGATGCCAATGCTAGCAGGCTCTCCTGGATTGGTGCGAGGAGCACGAGCTTGACCTCAGTGAGGTGCACATATTTTGTTTCCACCCGAGTCCTGTCGGTCTCATAATCCTCAGTCGTGGATACGCCCTTCAGGGCTGCATAGCAATCCAACCTGGCTTTTTGATTGTGAGGGCGTTCTTGCATCCTGTTCGCTTGTGCTTGGCCTTCTGCTTTGAAGCAGCACTTGAGAAAGATTGAGGTGACTTGGCATGCCCACTTTCTCAATATTTGGCCGCACCGCCATGCAGAGACCCCTGTAGATGTATGTTCTGAGGTTCCTGATCGCAGGAGCCAACTCCGCTCAGGTGCAATTCACGACTGGGGCTGGTAGGGGTGTGGAGCCCGACGTCGTCCTGGCCTTGCTGGACAGGCTGCAGCCCTTGGTGTGGGCCGTGGGGAGGGTGCAAGCTCGCTCCATGTCAGATGCTGGTCGTGAGTGAAGCTCTGAAGCGAAGCTGCGTCTACGGAGGTCCGTCGGAGAAGACAAGCTGCACGAACTGTTGCGCGAGGCCGGTCATTTGTGCCACAAGTGAACGTGAATGGGAGAAAGGCTAAGGCTTCACCTCGCAGGTGAGGCGTTCTGGCTCGTGGTCTTTCCTTGCTAAGCAAACAGCTCAATTGCAGCCGGCAAGACGAAGCCGTTGAGGGCATCCGCATAACCGTATCGAACAGTGTACCTTGCATCTGCATGCTGGGAGGTCTTCTTCGGCGGCGCAGAGCGCATCAACGCCATAGCAAGTTGGTGCGCTCTTAGTTCCCGTTGACGGCTGTTTCTTCGGGTTTCGAAGCTTCGATGGGAAGAGACACGATGTGGTAGCGAGGCCAGTGAGCATTGACGAGTGCAAGGCTTTCAGTTCCTAACAGGAAGTGCGGTGGCGGTGGGATAACCGGCTTTGCCGACTCATGTCCAATCCCCAAACATGTGCTTTCTCACATGCCATTCCTGCTGCGGTTTTGTTTAACAGGATTGCCTTTCATGACAGGCTGCAGCAGTTGAGTCGTTCCGGTGCCGAGTACCTGGGCATCGATGGATCGTGCTTCGGGTGTTGGACTTCTATGGAGCTTGGCCTTTGCAGGGGTGAGTTAGTGACGCATGAACGCTTCAACATCCGAATCGGCAATGCGTCTGTAAGACTTGAGTGTAAGATATGGCTCTGCGCGAAGACAGGTTCGCCATCGTCACAGCTGGGATCTCCACATCAGTTCTGCGAGTACTGAACGCCGTGCCGGAGTGGCAGTTCCTGTCTGAGAATCGCTTGCAGAAGCTGATGTAAGGTCAAGGCCCTCTCTTGGACTGCCCCCAGTGCCGATGCTCAGGCCGTTCTTCCCCAGCGACCGCATCTGGGACGTGCAGCAATCGCGACATTCTGTCCAGCCTGACCCTTGGCAATGGGAGTGTTTGAAGCCAGATATTGGTAAACCCCGCCTGGATGGGTTCGAAAGTCCTGATGCAGATCATGTCCTTTAGTTGCTTCCTCCCCAGGCGTTTGTTCGTTTCTTCTCGTGGCTTGGAATCAGGTCAGTTAGCACCAGCAAAGTGCTGCTGCTCCGAGACATTTGCCCGAAGGCGTTAGTGGCCCAGTTTTGGTGGCACGCTGTGCTGTTGATGCATCGGACGGTGCAGCATGTGCCTGACCTCAATTCTCAGCACTTCCTCATGCCAGTGCTGTCACAAGCAAAGGCAGCCTCATGAAGCATGCATTGATCATAGGTGGCAACGCAGGCAACTCTAGCAGTGCCCGGTATGCAAATGCATCGGGCACTTCCTTTGAACGCCTGCTAGAAAAAACCTGGCTTCAGGTTTGACCCAGATTTTCGATGCTTTGAGAAGCTGGGATAGTCTAAGCCCACAGCATCCAACGACGCTGCACCTTGGGATCATCTGGCAGGCAACTCTAGCAGTGTTGGCCTCAACTACTGAGCCGGCTCTTCCTTTTTCAGCCTGCAAAACTCAAGGGCCAAAGTTTGACCCGGCTGCTGCCAAGGACTTGGAACAGCCGGGATAGGCAATGCCTACAGTAGAGGTTTCGGTTTCGGGCAGTTGCTTCTCTAGCAGAGCCCGGTGGTGTGCCTATACGGTCCCTTCCTATTCCGCCTGTGACAAGGTGCTTGAAGTTTGACCCGGCTGCTTTCCTCATGAGCTGCTGGGATAGGAACGGGAAACATCGCGGATCCATGGCACAGGAGCTCTGGCCGACTGCACGCAAGCCATCATCTTGAGCCTTCGATTCAAACGCAATATCAGGTCGGGCATTCTACTGGTGGATGACTCGTTGCAGAAAGACCCTCCTTTTGAATGGGCGCTGGTCTGAGACATGGCTTGCCTGGCGATACGAGATGGAGACCGACACTGACGTGAAGCAGCCATGAACTCGATTCGAGGCATGTAGCGGTGCCAAGGCGTCGAGCTTAGTTTGCGGTCTTGGAGAGTCTGCAAACATGGCATCTGGCACGGCAGAGCCTGGCCTCAGGTGGCTGTGTTTGATGGCCTCCCCTACGAGGGCCCCGGGCTGCAGGAGGCACCGGCCGCCTTGATCGCCTGCACTGCACTGCAGAAGCCGCTTCTTTGCGAGGATCCGATGCGTGCCATTGAAGTTGAACTGGCGAAGTTCCCCTAATTCACCGGGCCTAAGTCCGCTGAGATCCCTTGATGCAGAAGCTGCATGGGTATGATGGGTATGAGGACACTTGGGCCTTGGGCAGGAAGCGTTTCTCAGGCACCGGTGCAGCACCAAGTTAGTGGGCAATTCGTGGACAGATGCGTAGCAACCCAAGGTTGCATGCCCGCAGAAAGTGGCTGGTAAAGGTACTATCGAGCCACCGGACCACCAGCGTGCACACCTACTGTGTTCATGACCTGCGGGTATGCAGCGGATGGGCAAAGAAGTGGGTTGCGAGGATCTGAAATTCGTGTTAGGGCTCGGGACCTTTACGTGCATGCCCTGAGCAAGAATTCGGTCCAGAGCAGGTCTGCACATGCAGGGGCTCAAGAGTTCTTGAGACTCTTTCCACTGGTTGAAGTTAGCTCAGTAAGAAAGCATGTTTTGTCGAGATGGTCCATGATTCGCCTGCGCTGCGGAATGAAGTCATGCTGGTCTCAAGCAGGGAGAAACGATTGACATAAAGGGGCCATGTATTTCGACCTCGGCACCTCTTGCGTGACAAGCTTACCAGCCCTGCGGTGTATAATCGCATGTACTCGCACCTCGCGCGGTCGCTTTGCACATTCTGCTGATGCCTTGCCTGAGTGAGCCAGATAAACTAGTTGGCCATTTTCTTCAATTACATCTTCCGATGGTGCGGAATGGAGATCGGACTGTTTCGCAGCGGTGACCGTCGAAGCTCAGTGGGTCGTGAATGACTGTCACTCGAAAGGGCGGGGAGATGCGGGGAGCTTTCCGCTGGCAAATGGCTTTCAGAGTAGAGCGCGGCATAGCCACGCGTAGGACAATGAAGTGGCATTAAGCCAGTCAAGCTCCTTCCTCGGAACCTGAGCCGTGGACTCAAGCCCCACCCCAACCCCAACCCCGCCCCACGCTGACTCCTAGACTCCTTGGAAGGTGTAAGATGGAGATACGGCTACATTGCCCAACATAGCCAAGATGTAACACAACACTGGTAGGTTTGACGCGTCAATCAACGAGTCGCTGCCTCTTGGTTAATGGCTCCAGTGCCGCCGGTTTCACAAACACCGCGAGGGCCTCAAATCAAGTTCGTCGGACGGTGTCCGAGCAAACTACACTGGGAAGCTACTATAATGTATGATCGGCCCATCACGAAGGACGCGTTCGCGAAGCGAGCTGGAGTTGAAGTCCAATGAGCCCCAAGCTCGAGGCCTGCACCAACTTGGGCAAGAATGTGTTTTCTCATCTCGTGAGAAATTGTAGAAGATTTGATGCTCACAGCGATTGACTTGGAGTGCTTCCGAAGCTTCAGGCACCGGAGGCACAGCCCCAGCCCATGTCAGCCGGGATTGGGTCTCGACGATGAAGCCAGGCCAGCCGATCCCCTCCTTCCTCTGCCGAGACACATGCATCCATCCACATGCGAACGAATCAGATGGATGTGGAGATGTAGATATGTGTAGCAATAGGGGCAGGTGTATCTGTGCATGTGCAAGAGGCATGCACGTATTCTGCCAGCCCTGTCCGTCCTCCCTGCTGTTGTGCATTGAGCCTCTGCCTCTTCTTGTTCGTTCTTGTCAAACAACCAGAGAACAAGTCACTTCTTATACGCTGACAACACACCGCACATGGGTGAGTGTGGCGTTTCCACTCGGGTTGTGCCCTGGTAGAACTTTGTTGGGATGGAGCAGAAACACGAGCTGTAGATGCCAAAAGCGGGCCAAGGGTCTCCTCACATTCTGTTCTCTTCAGGTGAAAGAGTCTAGAAGGAACTGCGAAAGAAGGCAGAGCAACATTCTCGCCGTCCGCTTCAAGAGCAAGACCTAGTAAGACGAGCGCCTTCACCGTTATGTCCAAACACGAACCAGAGAGCCGCTCTAGCAATCATCATGCGGTTCTTGGCCTCGGGGCAAACAGGGCTCGGCCACTGTCCCCGTGTGTCGTGCAAAGATCGGTCTCGCACTGCTCAATTCGCCCCAAGACGTCGCTCTCGCCAGAGTCTCGAGCTCATCGTAAAAGACGGCAGTTTGCCACTGAGCACGTTAGCACTTCGTAAGCCATACACTTGGGTCCACAATTGTTGGACTTGGAATGACTTGAGGCGTTGTGTGCCGAGAGAGAGAGAGTTTCGACAGCGGCGTAAAACTTTGCATATATCATGTATACAAAGGACATATATACATACACTGTCAGGATACCATGAACCTTCGTGCAGCCTGCATCACATGCATGCGTAAACAAGATCTTTTCGACTGTATTCACTTTCACGCATTTTAGGCATAAGCTCAGACAGTACAGTATGTGTAAATATTAATATCAGCACGTATCATGTTTTAGTAGCATACTGTATGTGTGTCTGTATAGCTAGCTAGCTAGATAGATCGATAGACAGACAGTGTGATCGTGCTTGTACAGAAGGAGATCTCAGTGGGCAAGTATTGCATCTCTTAACGCAAATCTCTGGGTCAATGTGTTGGCTTCATCGGTTGGTCTGTATCAATCGTGCGTGTATGTGTATGTCTTGTACTAGACAGACAAACATGTAGATATGCATGTATGATCATGCATGTATTAGCGGTGTGCTCAGCTCGGGAGGCTCACGGCCTACCTCCTCTGCAGCAGCGTCGCTCGCATTGAAACCAGGCTGGGCTCTACGGGGCAGCGCCCAAGCTGACCCGACCCGACTGTGTACCTCCCTAAGTGGCTTATTCGGCCAGAATTCCCAACGTAGCATCTGCTCAAGAAGTCAGGCATGCGCCCCCCTTCCGGACGCTCAATCCCAAATTTGGGGCCAGGTGCGCATCGCTGCAAGAACTTTAGGTTCAAGTTGGAGCTCTTGGACTCCGGACGCAGTGTGTGCATGTCGAATATAGGCATCAGAGTCTATTTCGGATGAAGCTCGTGGCC